TATCACCAAGGCGCCTTATCGCCTCGCTCCACAAGAGATGCAGGAGTTATCCTTGCAGCTTCAGGAGCTGTTGGGAAAGGGGTTTATTCGACTGATTAGCTCACCTTGGGGAGCATCGATCCTTTTTTTCAAGGAGAAGGATGGTTCACACCGGATGTGTATTGATTACCGGGAGTTGAACAAGTTGACAGTCAAGAACCAATATCCGTTACCTAGGATCGATGATCTGTTCGATCAGTTGCAGGGGGCATCTTGGTTCTCCAAGATAGACTTGAGGTCGGGTTATCATCAGATGAGGGTTTGGGATGAAGATATCCAGAAGACTGCATTCAGAACTCATTATGGACATTATGAGTTTGTGGTGATGCCTTTTGGGCTCACCAATGCCCCAGCTGCGTTCATGGATCTCATGAATAGGGTGTGCATGCCGATGCTGGATCGGTCGGTGATCGTATTCATTGATGATATTTTGGTATATTCAAGGTCTATAGAGCAGCATGAGGAGAATTTGAGGGAGATCCTTGGAGTTCTGAGATCGAGAGGTTGTATGCCAAATTCTCCAAGTGTGATTTCTGGTTACGAGAGGTCCAATTCCTAGGGCATCTTGTTAACCAGAAAGGGATATTAGTCGATCCGGCCAAGATCGAGGCGATGATGAGATGGGAGAGCCGAGATCACCCACTGAGATCAGGAGCTTTCTGGGATTGGCCGGCTATTATCAGAGGTTTATTAGGGATTTCTCCAAGAGTGTCGTGCCACTTACCAAGATGACCCGGAAGGGTGTTTCATTTTCATGGGGTCCGGAGCAGCAGTCTTCATTTGAGACTCTTCGCCAGAAGTTGTGCGAAGCCCCGGTGCTCGCACTCCCGGAAGGGATGGAGGATTTTGTGGTATATTGTGATGCATCAATATCTGGGTTAGGGCCAGTGCTTATGCAGAGGGGGCACATTATAGCGTATGCATTGAGGCAGTTGAAGCCTCATGAGTCGAGATATCCCACCCACGATCTGGAGATGGGGGCTGTGGTGTTTGCTCTCAAAATCTGGCGGCATTATCTATATGGGGTTCGGTGTACCATATACACAGACCACAAGAGTCTGAAGTACTTGATGGATCAGCCAAACCTGAATATGCACCAGAGGATATGGATGGATGTGGTGAAGGATTATGATTGTGAGATCCTGTACCACCCGGGCAAGGCTAATGTCGTAGCCGATGCTTTGAGCCGTAGGACGGAGAGCGCCCCGATCCGAGATGTTTGTATGAGGTTGACGGTGATACTCCGGTATTGGATGCCATCCGAGGGGCCCAGTCTGAGGCTGCGAGACCAGAAAACCGAAAGAGGGAGCGGGTTGTCGGGCAGGTATCAGAGTTCGTTACCGATACTCGGGGACTTATGACATTTCAGGGTCGAATTTGGGTACCGTTTGTAGGCGGGATGCGTACTATTTTGATGGAAGAGGCACATCGATCGAAGTTCTCGATCCATCCCGGGGCTACTAAAATGTATTTGGACCTAAAGAAGGAGTATTGGTGGCCCTGTATGAAGAGAGATGTTGCATGGTTCATCGAGAGGTGCTTAACTTGTCGCCAGGTTAAGGCCGAGCACCAACGTCCGCATGGTAAGATGCAACCGCTGGAGATTCCCGAGTGGAAGTAGGAACAAATTACCATGGATTTTATCACCAAATTGCCAAGGACTGCGAGAGTAGTCGATGCAATTTGGGTGATTGTGGATAAGTCGACGAAGAGCACTCATTTTCTTGCTATCAGTGAGAGCTTTTCTGCTGAGAGGTTGGCAGAGTTGTATGTGAGGGAGGTGGTATTGTGGCATGGGGTTCCGATGTCGATTGTTTCAGATCGAGACGTACGATTTACTTCCAGATTTTGGAAGAAGTTTCACGAGGAGTTGGGTATGAGGCTGCATTTTAGTACCGCATACCACCCACAGACGGACGGACAGAGTGAGCAGACGATTCAGACGCTCGAGGATATGCTCCGAGCGTGTGTTTTGGATTTTGGAGGGAGTTAGGACACCTATCTACCCTTGGCAGAATTTTCATACAACAATAGCCATCATTCGAGCAATGGTATGCCACCCTTTGAGCTGTTGTATGGGAGGAGGTGTCGGACCCCCATCTGCTAGGGAGAGGTGGGGCATCGGGTAATGGGTAGTATGGAGATTGTGCTTCAGACGACAGAGGAGATACAACAGGCCAGACAGAGATTGTTGACCGCTCAGAGTCGCCAGAAGAGTTATGCGGATAGGCATCGGTCCGAGCTCGAGTTTCAGGTTGGTGACCTTGTACTCTTAAAGGTCTCTCCTTGGAAAAGAGTGATTCGATTCAGGAATAGGGAACGTTGGGGCCTCGATATATTGGACCTTTCAGGGTAATCGCGAGGGTGGGCATGGTAGCCTACCGTTTGGATCTACCTGCGGAGCTGGGTCAGATTCATGACACCTTTCATGTGTCGCAGTTGAGGAAGTGTATTGCCGACGAGTCGACAGTAGTTCCATTAGAGGATATTCAGGTGGATGCGGGCCTGAACTATGTTGAGATACCGGTGGCAATTAGGGATCGAAAGGTTAAGGTTCTGAGGAACAAGGAAGTGCCCTTGGTGCAAAGTGCAATGGCAGCATCGGAAGGGGTCCGAGTTGACGTGGGAGTCCAAGTCAGAGATGCGGGAGCAGCATCCAGAATTGTTTTCGGTATAAGACTGCGGGGACGAAGTCAGGTTCTAGTGGGGGAGAATTGTAATAGCCCAAAATTCAGGTACAACCAATTAGCCCTTCATCTTTTAAATAATTGCCATTTTTGGCCTTTGTGTTGGGTGAGTACGCTGGGCGTACTCACGCGCCTTATTCAACACGTTATCACCCGGGTACGCTGGGTGTCCCGGTCTAGACCCAAAACCCTAATTTATCTTGTTTGCTATAAAAGGAATGAGATGGCTTTGTCCCTCAGCCACCATCCTTTAGAAAGAAACCCTAAGAGAGTTGTTCCTTCGTTTATAGCTTGGGTGTGAGTGTTTTAAGCTTCAAGGTGTTATTTCAAGGTAGCAAAAGAGAAGAGGAGTCCATTGTGGAGGCTAGAAGTTGGTGGACAAGTGCAGATCCGTGGATAACAAAGGTTGGTGCTTCTTCCTGAGGTAGAAAGTTCAGATCTTGCCTTGTAGTTCTTATGGTATGCTTCTTGGACCAATTTCTAGGGTTTTTGGTCCCAAAGATGGAGACTTTATGAGAAAGTAGTCTCTATTGGCTTAGATCTATCATATTCCAGGTCTATTTGAGTTGTATGTTCATAAAAATGTAATCTTGGATGTAAATAATTAGCCATGCATGAGATCTAGATCTTTGGAGTTGAAAAGAAAGGTATTAGAGAGTGTAGGAGCCTTTACAGCCATGCCAAGGATTAAAGGTTCCTACTTTATGGGTTAGGAGACTTAAAGAGAGCCGGATCTAGAAGTTGAAGAAGTGTCTTAACCATTTAAGACCAAAAAAATATGGTATGGCTGAATCTGGGACTTATGTTGGGCGTAACTCCCAGTACGCGCAGCGTAAGGGGGTTGAGACCCCCGATTGTGGTTCATCGATCTACACCCCGCATACAGAAGCTGGTACGCCCCACATATTGTGGTCTATTGACTTTTGTTGACTTTTAGGGTTTTGATCAACATGTGGACTTTGAGTCAAGGAGGGGTGAAATGGTCTTTTATCCCTCTGTGGGATAATGAAAAAAGGTGTAGCCTAGTCTTGGAAGCCTATATTAATTAGAATGATATTTCATTATGATTAGGCGGGGTTGGGTCTTCGTTTCGAGACTCGGAGATAGCGAGCACGTGAGATTCTAGACTTTCTACGAGGTGAGTCTTCTCACTATACTGTACCCGGAAAGGTATCTATGTGTGACCGAAAGGTTAGATATGTTATGAGCTATATGCATTATATAATTAAATTAACCGTTTGTATGTGCTATGTATGCTATGCTTGATATGGGTCGGAAGGCATTGTGTTATGGGCCGGAAGGCATTGTGATGTGGATCGGAAGGTCGACGCGGGTAGAACCGGAAGGTTTACCGGGTCGGGACAGAAGTCCCCTGAGACACATGGACCGGAAGGTCATGGCCTGGAAAGGCGTATGTGTGTAAGTAGTATTTTGGGGAACTAACTAAGCACTTATGCTTACAGTTGTTGTGTTATGTGTTTCAGGTACTAGCGAGGACCGTGGGAAGGCGCCAACGTGATCTGTACACACTGACGGAGGATTTATTTTATGATCTTGGGATTTATATGATTTGTATTATGATATGATACATTGGATTTTATGACTTGATTTGGATGAAAACATGTTTTAAGCAATAAAAATTTTGTTTTGAAAATTTACGTTGTTACACTTAAGATTCATATTTAATTTGGATGTTTAATGTTTAATGTTTAAATATGAATTATGGATTTTTGGAATATGAATTATCAATGTTCAATATTTTTTTCTTCAACTAGATATAGTATTTCCTTATTTGGATTATTCAGATCATTTCGGTTTATTTAGGTTATTCAGGGCATTTCGGTTGGAAAGCATAAGCTACATGTTATTTTGGTCCTTTTGAGTCAATAACCAAACCAAAACTCGTATTACCCGAACGGAACATGTCCCGTATTTATATAATTGGTCCGAATTTTGGTTCCAACTTTTCATTGGTTCTGGCCTGAAGCACATCCCAAGTGCGTTCCCAATTGTTTGCTTCTTGAATTCCTCTCTCGGTTACCCTCCACAAAGGACATTATTATAACAGGTATACTCTCCAAGCAATGGGAACATCTAGATTTTGGTTCTTACTCTAATTTTCTAAAACAATGATGATAAAAATTCACAATCCTAGTTTGTTTCGTTAGTTAATAAAACCCAATGTCGCCAATTGAAGCTCAAGAAATTCAACGTCACGTTTATTAATAGTTATTTATTTGAGTTTTAATCTCAAGATAACAATTTGGATTCATTATGCTCAGGAAGTTATTGTTTTTGATGAAGGAATTAGATGAAGAATTGATTAGAAACATATTATCCGGGAACCCTGTATTAGAAACTTTGGTATTGGATGATTACCATTGTTATGGCAGCTCGACATTACTTCTAAGGGTGTTAAGAACTTAATGTTCTCTGCATACATGGATCATGGGTTTGAGGGTGTTGAATATGTTGATCTTGATATTATCGTGATTAATGATCCTAATATTTTATCACCAACAATTGAAAACAATTGAAGGTGATATGTTGTTGTGGAAGCTTTTGTTGGTAAATGTTTCTTCTTTAGATGAAGCCAACTTAGATTATACAAAGATTGGGTCTAAGGGGACATAGCCAGAGGCAGAAAAAGAGATGCTTAAAGGTTATTTACTAAATCTTTGCAATGTCCAGTAGCTTAAAATTAGGGATTTTTGTTATGAGGTAAAATTTCTTTTCCTTTGATAAATTTATTAATTTTGAGTGTTCGGTTAATATGATTATGATTATGATTTTTTGTGTTGTTGGTAGGTTATGTCTCGTTTGGATGCAAAAGGTTTCGATTCTCTATCAAATATGAAGTTTGTTGAAGGAACCATGTCTTTGTTTAGTAGTGATCTGGTTGAAAGGAAAGAATGGTGATGCTTTGAATTCAATTTTAGGCATTGTAGTTATTGTGTAATATTTTCAACTCCTTTTCTATTCTTTTTTTTGTAAAATATTGATGGTGTAATATCTAACAAACTAAACCTAAGTAAGTGGTTTAGACGCGTGGTTGTTATATATTCTTGTATTTGTATAGCCCAAATCTGTATTAATAATAGTATTGACCTCCTATATATAAGTTATTGTTTCTTTTACTTAATGACCTTAATGAATACATGACTTAATCTATAAAATATATATAGGCATATATATAACTTCATACAGAGTATATATCAATGTTGTAAAAGTTGTTTAGCTAGCAGTTACTTGCTAGCCGGGCAGTTATTAAGTAGACCTAGAACTAATCTGCCAAACAAACGAGACTCGGTCCAAATAAGTACAAAAATATCAAAAAGTCATTAAAGTCAAAAGTAAAAAAAAAATAAAATAATAAACAGAATCATTATCTTATCTAATATATGTCCAAGCAATCATCCCAAAAGTTGATCCACATAGTAAAGCAAAAGCAACATGCCTTCATCCACCCCATGTGCGGATTTGCGTACTATGTTAGAACAACATCATATCCTCATAGTCATCAAAGTATGATAATCAACTACCTAACTAATTTATCAATCGATGCAATTCAATTCTCAAGACACGGTGGTCACTATTTTGAACAAAAAGATAATATAGAAGTCAAGGACAATGTCAAGAAAGCAATCCTTCAACATATTACACTCGATTTACATATTAAGCAGCTGTTACAACATGACCTTTTTTTTTTTCTTATAGATGGCTTATAGCTTGAAGTTATACCCATCAAGAATTGGCTTACCTTTTTTCTTGATCTCAAGCCAACCACTTATGAACCTTAATTTCTTGCGAAAAGAATATTTGTACTTCATAACAGTAGTGCTTTTTTTTTTTTTTTTTTTTTTTTTTTTTTTTAATTTGAGAAACTCTTTCTTAGTGTTTGACGTGTCTCATTTGTAAAAAAATAATCCTTGAATCACAAGTTAATGTGCCATAATTAGCTTTCAAATTGATAATGTCTCTTCTTTTTCAACATATAAATGTCATATTTCATATTAGATCTGTCTTTAAGTCAAACAAGTCAAGATTGATCAAAACAATTTTATTTAGGTTACAAACCTTATTTTGCTAGACTCTGGACACATCTTGCTTTCCCAAAGGCGTATTATGCAACTCAAAGCTTACTGTTGACAAAGCTATTATGATTTGGTGGCTCTTGATTCATGGTATGAAGCACTGCATGTTGGTGTTGCCTCTTCAAAGGTTGAAGCTACTTCAAACATAGCTGTTGTCATTTGGTGCTCTCTAGCTTAGACATTAGTTTGGTTTCCATTACAAATCTCTAGTCATCATTAAATTTGTCTAGTTTAGTTCACTTTCAAGTTTCTTCCTGGTTTCATCTTCTTTATGTACTATTATGCCTAGCTCCCTGCTGGCTTTCTTTAATACATTTTCTCTTTGCCTTTCAAAAAAAAAAAAAGGTTACAAACCTTATAGGATATCTTGTGTCACAGCCTCCATTTGTTAACAAAACTTCATCTATGTTTGATCTTCCTAAATGTTTTTTTTCTAACATTTGGCTAATAATAAAGAAAGAATTCTCTGTTTTTATAGGGACTGCTTTGTAAGTTTTTAAAGTAATTAGAGGCGAAAGCAATATTTCGCAGTTTGTATATACTATACTTTACGGCTAGTTCGGGGTTTGTTGCAAGATTTCTTGGAGGAAAGGAAATCAGCGAGCTTTGGCGCCATGGAAATTGCGGAAGAAGATCAAAATCAACCTGTAATTTCCTCAAAACGGATAAAGTTTGAAGAAATCGTGGAGGAGGGGGGAGAAGATCGAATTAGTGCGTTGCCAGATTGCTTGCTTGTTGAAATCCTGTCTCGTTTACCCTCGACAAAAGATTCCATTAAAACAGGCACGCTCTCAAGGCGATGGAAGCATCTTTGGACTTGGGTACATACTCTCATCTTTACAGAATCAGATCATAATTTTCCGTGGTCCACTTTCGTTTCCTTCGTCGACAAAACCCTAACTCAATGTCGCCACTTGAAGCTCAAAAAATTTGTATTGTCTACCAGTGAATTTAAATTCCAAATCAACAACTGGATTTGTTATGCTATAAGATATAACGTTGAAGAGCTTAATTTAAAGTCATGGGGTACAGTTTTTTTAGATCAATCTTTCTTCATCAGTCCACCTTTTACGAAACTGAGATTAGAAGGCTGCGCATTGTATCCATGTGGGGCTAATACTAAGCTGACATCAGAAGGCTGCGTATTAAATCCATTAGTGGCGATTAGTTGGAAAAATCTTCAGAGTTTGTATATAACCTGGGGGTATTTATATGAAGATTTGATTGAAAATATATTATCAGGGAGTCCTGTATTGGAAACTTTGGTATTAGATCGTTGCTATGGTTTGGGTCAGTTTCGGATTGATATTACTTCAAAAAGCTTAAAGAAGTTGGTGTTATCTGGATACCGTGAACCTATCTGCGATTATGAAGGTGTTGATGATGTTGTTGAAATCAATGCTCCTGATGTTTTATCACTAGCAATCAAAGGTGATCTGGTGTTGCTGAATCTTTTTTTGGTAAATGTGTCTTCTTTAGTTGAAGCCGAGTTAGATTATACAAACTTGTGGCATTGGAAAAGAACACGTAGTGAAGAGATGCTTAAAAGATTTATACTAAATCTCTCCCATGTCAAGGAGCTTAAAATTGGAAGTTTCTGTTCTAAGGTAAAAAAAAAAAAAAAAAATCGTTTTACAGTTTATATCTTTGATCATTATCTTTTGTAGTACTTCATTGTTTATCCCTTGATAACATGTGAATTTTGATCAAATGATTATCTGCTTCAAGTCCTAGTTATATAACACTATGAAATTGCACATCCAAAATATATATACATTGCAGAAGAAACCCCAAACAAACCCATGTGAGCATTCTTATTTGTTAATCATTATTTTAAGGTGTTTTTGTCATTTTTCAGATTAGAAAATCACTTATGGACCATTAATAATGTCTTTGTTTCTGCTTCTTGGGTTTCTCTCTGTAACTTGTTACGAGATGTCATAGCTATAATTTTGTTTTCCATATTCATAATTAACGCATACATGCAATGCGTGGTTCTAATTTTTGCTGTCCTTTTCACTTGTATTGTTTTGTTGGTAGGTTTTGTCTCATTTGGAAGCTAAAGGTTTCGTTGTTCCATCAAATATCAAGTTTTCTGGTGGTTTTCCTAATGAGAGTGAGAGTGAGAGTGAGAGTGATTCAGAGTGATTTAGTTTAAAGTGGAGATCAGTGATGCTTTGAATTCATGTTTAGGCCTTTTTGATATACTGAAATACTTTCATCTTTCTTTTTCTCTTTGTTTTTGTAAGGTTTACTTGGTTCCACTGAGTCCTCTACTCCTTTGGGTTTTGGATGATTTCTTATTTTAAAGTATTGATGAATTGTGATCTTTCTTGATATAGTCGATGCATTATTAGTTACTCCGATTCATTTGTTGTAGTTAATTTAGAAGCTTCGTTTTTGTTTGTAATCACCATTCTTTATGAGTTGTGGCATTTTCTTAAGCAATTCGAATAGCAATTCTAATGTTTGTTTTATAGTTTTCTAGACAAGCGGTTATGAAAAATTATCTAACATGGACTTAATTACAGTTGACTTCGGATTTCATGGCTCTTGTTTTTGTAAGCGTATTTTTGTGCAATGATATATTGCGGATATATCTCGCTAGAAATACACATTCAAACCGGTATTTATTTAACCGACGAAAAAAACCCGATTAAAACAGAACTGCCGGTTAGTAATAAGTTTTAATAAATATCTGAAACCACTTTTTCTACTATAACCGAAACAAACCGGTTTTTTTAACCGAAATAAAATAAAACATTTTTTTAAAACTCAATTTCACTTCAAAAACACCAAACAGGTTATAACCAAAACCAATCTAGTGAAAACCTGTTATAAACTAGACCGGCTTCTTTAAAAACCGAAACTGGTAAATGTGCACCTCTATATCCCGCTAGTTATGGCCAACCAACTATTTTGAATCTACCAAAAATACCATTTTTTACATTTTAATGTATAGAGAGGTAATCACCCCCATACTTTTTATACCAATTATACCATCGTGACCGAGAAATTAAATTGATTCCTACTTTTTATGCCTACAAATGTTCCTACCCAATAAAATTATAACAAGTGTCATCTTTCTATATTTTTTAAACTAAATCATTAAGACTATATTAGGAATATATCAAATACAATTAAATTGAATGATGATTTGTCATAAGAAATCAAATGAAAGTGAATTATTTTATTCTTTTTTTGGACTTTTACTATATTTAGTACTTTTCGACCAACATTTTTTTTTTCAATAATGTCGATATGATATAGATTCCGAACAACAATTTTTTTTTTCAAAAATGTCAATATGATATAGTTCTAATTCCGTGAAATTATGCTTTTTCTATGTTTATTATTTTTCATAATTGTCATATCCTGTATTGAAAAACATAGTTCTAATATAGAAGAATAATTTACAAATAGATCCAAACAAAAATAAAAAATGAAACTCATTATTTAAAATGTATATCCACAAATGAAGGTGCAAAAAAATTAAATTCAATGTTCGTAACAACTAAAAAAACAAAACTTAAAGTATCTCACTTATGCTATTGAGCCATCTGCAATCACTTTCACATAACAAATCTTTTCAGTTTCATTCATCTTAGAAAATGATCGAGCACTGAATTGATTTTTGCTGAATACATCAATCGCCTTAAGCCGCTGCTTGACACTGATATTTGGCAAAAGTTGTATATCCTCCATAACTTTATTGATCATATCACACTCTTCGTTACTTTCCTGCATTCTTATGTTGCTTATTGTCTCAATAAATTCATTAGTCAACTCCAATAATACATCAATAATGACATTGATATTTGCATCATCATCACTACTCCATACGTGTTTGCTCTGTCCTGCCATGTCTCCAGTCCTAACTATCTTTCTTTCTGCAATTTTTTTTGAAACAGCAAATCTAACCTACTCCTAAACTACACCTTAAATCCACCTATGTCCACGACGGGACTTGAACCCTCAACCTCAAGTAGGGAGGGCAACACCGGATACCGCTGGGCTACAAGCCCTTTGGTTCTGCAATTACAAATTATTAGTTAGTACAATCATTTAAAAGTGATTATTAATTATATTTCAAAACAGATCCACCATTACCATTCCATTCCTGTGATCTCATCAAGGTTTACATACATAAAAAAACCAAATAAAGACACTATTATAAGAGCGTTTCAAAAAATGCCCTCAAATTTTCAAAATCTCCCACCAAGCAATGTCAATTCAACTATTAGAAGTAGGAAAAGTTCAGTGTGAAAATCGATCTCAAGTGTATGGTGTAAACATAGAATCAAATTCAAGCGTATGGTGTAAACATAGAATCAAACATAGCAAGATTGAAAATCGTACCTTAATATGATGCAAACATAGCAAGAATCAAATTCAAGTGTATGATGTAAACATAGAATAAAACATATTATGGTGACAAAATCGAACTTCAAACATCAAGAACCGAACTTCAAACAGCAAGAACCAAATTCAAACAAGAAGAATCGAATTTAAACATAGCAAAGTTGAAAATCGTACCTTAGTTTGGAAGTATGGTATGTAGGAATAACGAGAAGAAGAGTTGGGCCAATTGCATTATATAATACGCCGGGTGCAACTTGTAGGGTTCCAAGGAGGGTAAAAATCATTTTTTTTTTTTTTTTTAATTTATAATTTTAAATATCTATAGAATTCTCGATGCTCCCCCTACTTTCCTTTTCTCCCATTTTGCTTCTAAAATAAGGAATTGTTCTAATGGAAAAATAATTTATTTTCTCCAATTTTCTCTAATTCTTAGAGTATTTTGTATGGGCAATAGTGTTATATTGTCAACTCACATTTCAACATGTTATGACAATAAGTGGGGACGGTGTACATATGTTATAACATGTTAAGAAATAGAGAGAGAAGAAGAAAAAAAGAATTTGATTGGTTGATGAAAGCAAAAGCCAATCACATTTCTCGGTTTTTCTTGTGGTTGTTACAACGAGTTGTGCCTTAACACCTCCTAGACTAGAAATGGGTAGTGTTCATCTTGTTACGACCAGGTTATGATGTACCAAATCAGCAATAATATTACTTTTCATTTTCGTTACGCAAAACGTATGCTCTTACTATTTCTGTTTACCAACAAAAAAAGGATTAATTCTTTATTATTTTTCTCTTGTTCTATTTACCTGTACCACACGTGCCGAAACCGACGAAAAAGACAAAATATTTGTCATTAAAAGAATTTCACAGTGTGATCTAAGTTTCGTACCGGCCATTAGGGGTGTTCAAAAATAACCGAATCCAAAAATCCGATCCGAGAAAATCCGAAATTATCCGAAAATCCGGATATCCAAAAATTCGGATATCTGATCTTTTGGATTCGGATACGAACAACCATTTTGAAAATTTTCGAATAGTTCAGATATCCGATAAATATATAGTTTTTTATTTCTTTAGTTAATGATCAAACGATGGGCTAAACTTACATTTTTATGAATCTTATTAGATAATTTTCTTTGTTTTTATATAAAAATGGATGACGTATGAGTAAATTAATAACTATCATCGAAAATTAGTGACCTTTTTGGATTATAACCACCACTTCAATTTGTCATCCAACAATATATCATTTAGTTTGTCTTTTGTTTATGAACTTGATACTTCATTTAATAATATTGCTATTTTATTTCCTTTTTCATGTCTATGTTTTTTTTATTTTTAGCTTTAAATTTAATATATTAGCAACTACTGTTTATTTGTGAATATTCTTAAGCAATAAGTAATGTTACCTTGTCTAGCTTTTAATGTATCAAACATATCGATACATATCGATGATATATTTTATGTTTGATTCTTAACACTGTTTGCTAACATAATTACCTATCATAAACAATAAATCAGTGTATTTCACTTCGGGTGTTACTTAGTATGATGAAAAGACTCTTTTTTTTTTTTACGACTTTTAAATAACCAAAATGAAGGAAAAATAACATTTTCGAATATCCTGTCTAATATCCGAAATTTCTGATGAGGATTCGGATATCAGTATTCACTATCTGAAATTTTCGGATATCCAAAAAATCAGATATCCGGTTTTGAACAAACCTACTGGCCACGCCGCCAAATACATGGTTATCAATTTATCATAGGGAAAACATCGAATTTGGGGTCATTTCGTAAAAAAATAGTGTGAATAAAATTTGAATTTAAATATCCATACTTTGACGGTGATGATTTCGACTTTCTAAGCAATGAAATTCTTAAGGGTTATTGTATGAAATCACAAGGGATACATGTTTTGTCCCCATGATGTGTTCGTCAACACTCCAACTGATCTAGGTGGGTTTCGCATTTCTTCCTTCTTTTATTTTCAACTACCTTAAGAAAAGGTGTAGTTATATCGGCATAAAATAATTTCACTTTGATTTTTGTTTTTCTCATTCTCGATATACACGTTTGTGATTTTCCAAGGAATCAGATGATAGAGATGTGTCGGTTCAAATTGTGTCGATATATGTGGTATGTAAGCAAATTTCCTTCGCTCGGTTTACTTGATTTTTTGAATAATGCTTCATAAGCCTCTTTAACATCTTTGATGAAAATATTGATTTCCCCTTTGTACAAAAGTTATGGTCTAATTTTAAAGTTGTGTTCTCCCGATTAGGATTCATGTCCATTTGATTATTTGTTTTGCAATTGTGATTTCCATTACCTAGAGATATTGGATGCTAATTTATATTTAGGTTAAATATTGATTTTTGCAGAATTTCAAAGAATTTTGGAGTTTTTTTTTCCCGAAAATCCCTTCTTATAGATGTGTCCACCTTTTAAGAGTATTTGGTAATCACTTGGAAAATAAGGACAAATTATCCAAGAAGTAGGATGAGTGATACCACATCAATTTGGAGGGAAACTTTTTCCACTTTTCAGCGATAAATACTCATCAGATCAGATTGTGCTTTTTTGTTGATGTTTGGTAACAGGAATGTTTGGAATTTTTAACATTTTAACAGTATCAAAAGGTGAGAATCGACAAGATTTTGAAGATTTTGGTTTAAGTTCTAGAAAAATGACGATTGATAAGTTCATCTAAAGCAGTGTATTATGAAAAAGTCACAATTTTGACACATTTGTTCAGGTTATGGAGAAATGGGAATTTTTAACTTCATTTATAGCATTGTACTTTGAAAAAGTCACAATTTTATGAGTTACAACTACCTTTTTTCATTTTATTATGAAAAATCTACGTCTTTACTAAGAATAAACATAAAGTATAATGTTGTAATTGAAAAAACTAAAGTAGGATTGCTGCTTTTTGTAATTCTGATACATTGTTTTTATTTCTCTT